GGTGGGCGGACCATGTTAAGTTTGGTGGAGTCTGTTAGAAAGGTTCACATGCGCCTAGGGTCCTAGTGACGCGCGTTCGATGTAGAAAGGTTAGCGCTACCTTTGCACTTGCGCACCCAGCACTTCTAGCCATGATAAGGGCTTCTTAGGTGGGTCTGAGCTCGAACTTTGCCTTCTAACCTCGACAACCTAACCTTTGCCCTCGACAGGCCGGGAGTGTGGGGGGGGGGTCGTATCTGTCCCTGTGGGAGGAAGGGGTCGCGCCTGATCTATGCAGTAGGTTAACCACTGTCGGAGGACTCAAAAAGGAGCGAACGATGATATCAAACATTGTGTAGAATTTCTTGTAACAATCCTATTCCGCACTCATAGAATTCTAGTGGTTTAAAGGGGTTCGCACAGTAATTTGAGGCTACCTCAATGATTCACTACAACAAGGGTAAAGAATCCGCAATTCGCACGTTTTTCAACAGATATTTTACAAATGAGTGCACAAATTTGAGTTTACTAGCCTCCGCTTGTGGAGAGTCGTTTCATGGACTTCCCGCTTGGTGAGGGAAGGGGGTCATATTTCAAAATTTTCGACGCCCCGCTTGACCCTGAGAACAGAATCAACTACTCTACCGCGCCCTTTTATTGGTGCTTCCCTTACCTCTACTATGCTGAACAGGATCAAGCGTGCATTGGGAAATTTTCGATGAGGAGGTCGTGTTTGGTGCAGTGGTAGAGAGGGATGTAGGTACATACCTCTCTACCATACCTCTCAGTGATACCGGAGCAAATCCTCAAGAAGGCCATTTTTGAGATACTATTCACCGAGTACATTTTTGACCCTACTTGACTAAATCTATTACTTTTATTTCCCTGAATATCAAGAGAAGCATTGTCTAGTTTACAGCGTCCCACATCTTGTTGCAGTTGGATGCTTTTGAAGATAGTTTTGGCTTTCGAATGTTCCTCGCCATTTCAGCGTACATTTCATCAACGCCAATTTTGGTACCTTTCAACAACCCACACCCCTTTCGGTACCTTCCATCCACTCACAAATAATGCAAGGAAAATGCAAGTTTTAGTCCCTTCAAGAGACGTTCAAAACGAAATGGGTTATATTTGTGCAAGACATTGATTATCGTTCGAAAAACACTCAGTAGTGAGACGACCTATACCTGGAAGTCTGTCAAGTTGGTTGAAATCCAGTACAGCAGCATAATGGAAGAGAACTGTGTCAAAGAGTATCCTGCCATGTACTTAAACACTCCAAATGACGTCACAAGAGCTGCACGGCCTTCCCGAATCACTGTTGGTACACAACGAATATCAGCAATCTTAAAAGAACATATTTCTAATCTTCTGAAAGCCGGATCGCGAAATGATCTTACCCTGGATGTGAACGGAGCAGCGATTGAAGCTTCTGCATCGGAGAGTGAGATTCCTGCATGTGCAGCTTTTAATGCTGCACAGTCGTTGGCTCCGTCACCACACATAGCCACAGTGTAGTCAATCTGAAACACCAGAGGGTCAAGTGTTAGGAGGATTCCGGAGACTGGGAAATAATAACCTCCTGGAGATGATTTATAAGCTGTTGCTTCTGATCGGGAGCCATTCTGGCAAAAACATCACACACAGCCACAAGCTTATCAAGTAGCTCAGGATACTCGTGGACGAGCACGGCGAACGTAGGACCTTCAACAACAAGAATCAGGCAGCAGACAGGTGGGATAAGGCTGCGCACATGCAATGCGAGGCAAATTGCACGACGGTTTTGTAGCTACGGCTACAGTATAAGTGGTGAGGCAGGTGTCAGACTTCGCGACTAATCGTCAGCGACTTACGTGATTCGCTAGCTATTCAAGCAGTATGAGCGTTGCGCCAGCTACTAATCACTCATTTTTCTGATTAACACATTGACGACAGGCGGCAACTATGTATGCCGCAGTTTGCACGCCACGTTGGGCATTGTGGCAGCCGTATATGTCACACCTATTACATTCATTTCTTGGGCTTGTCCGATTTCTTCTCTAAGCTTTTCTTGTTCATTTTATAGGCCATTCATCTAGATGATCGGCCATTCATCAAACGACGTGGTTTTCAGAATAGCCCAATATGATGTACTTGGCAGAGGTTCTCCAGGGCTTACGGAAATGTCTATTCAAATATATTCCCGTTTTCTTTTCATCAACTTATACATGTAGATAAAAAAAAGTTGCAGTAAAAAATACAAACCTAATCGAATGGCAGTATATGTGTTCCTTGTAACACATCCTCAACCAGAATAATATTGAAACCACTACACCGAAAATAAGTTACATTTTGGCCTTTCCATTGCCATAGCACCTCATTTTGGTCAAACATCTATTACTGTAATTACCGATAACTTGAACACATTGAACATTAAATTTGCATATTTAGGGCTCGAAGCACGGATGTGGGTGAGGTGATGGTCGCGGATCGCGGTAGCGAAATGGCGCCGGTCGCGGCCAAAAAAAGCCAAAACCCGCGATGTCGTCAACGTGTTAATCGCTGGCGCACCGCTCGTATCTCTAGAACCACTAGGCTAACTGTGGGGCCGGCGCTCGTAAAAAAACAAACACGGAATTGAGCTTCCTTTTTTCTGTACCATGCCCCCCTACGAGTTTTCTTTCCCCGTAGAGTTTCCATTTCATATTTTGTTGTTGACAACACTGCGGCATGTTTGCGATTTCATCACTACATGCTCTAGACATTCGTCAATGAGAAACGCGACCGAACAAAAATGAAGACTAGTTTCAGATTTTCAAAAAAAGCTACAAACATGTGCAAAAAAATCGAATAGGAACGAAACAGTTCTACAGAACAGAACCTTTTTACGGATCATGATCCTCTACAAGTATTTTGGCTAACGCTATACACAGAACTGCTGACTTCATTCTGAACCTTGAACTCATCCTAGTTCTTTCTGAGAACTGTGGTAGTCCGTTGTACTACGGACACTCATTCTTTCAGCTTACAATGGTAACTACCGAAGAATTCCAAGAGTGTGTCATGTGATCAAGAATGTTTTTGTCTCCATTAACTACTGTCTTCCGCTGCAGTCAATATAGGTAAAAGATATATAAAGAGCAGATAACCACGACTAATGCCGCATAGTTTTTATCCAATCCGAAACATTGATTTTCTAATGTCATCACGTTTCAGTCCTATGTGAATAACATTATTGATCGCTCACCTGAGATCGAAAGTTGATAACAGCTCTCCAGGAAGTGTCTTTTTCCGATCTCAACTGACACCTCAGATTCATCCTCTCCCTCGATCGACTTCTCAGAACTTGACACAGCCTGAAGTAGTCGTCGTTCAGAAAAGGCTTTTCGGCCCTGCATCCTTACATTCGGGTATAATATTTAGTCAAAAGTAAGTTGTGCATACCTGCCTAAGAGTGAGCAGCGGACGTCCTTTATCATCAAACATGTCGGTACGGTGTTCAACAAGGTAGGCCAGCTTATTCGGTCGAATGATTCCACACTCACGAGCAACACTTAGAGCCGTGAGCAGGTTGTCACCTGTGACCATAACAGTGCGGATATGAGCTCTGGAATAGAAAAGCCAATGCATTGCTAATCAGACCAAAATCAGCAAAAGGATGAGGTTTTAGTAGCATCGGAGTTGTGCAATGCTGTGACAGACAAACAGCTCCTGAAAAGCAGCTTTAACGATGAAAAAGCAACCCATTTCAAATCAAGTTAACAATGGTGAGTGGTACAAAAGAAGGAAAACCATGAGAAACGGCCCAGAACCCGAGAAATGGGACCCCTTCCTTGCCCGTTGATTTGCGCATTGATGCGACTCTCATCGCTGTGCCCTCTTCAACACTACGCTCTCTCTGCTATCTAATCACTCGCCACGTATAGACCTGCGGCGAGTGATTAGATAGTCGGTGGGCGTACCCCGCCAACCGCGCCAAGAGTGAGCCATGCTAGATCGCCGAGGTCAAATCTTTCGCTGCCAATTGCGCGTCGTCCGCACCCTCAGGAGGTCCGCCTGTCTCCCCACTAGGCAATTTTCCCCTTCTTCGACCTTCGTTCTTATCGTGGAATCCTTCTTTGAACCAGTACTTGCTGACATGGACAACTAAGGCGTTGAGCACTTATTTTGTAGGCTCTACTCAGTAAAACAAAACATTGGCATACCTGTTAAGTTGATTAATGACTCCTAGCGTGACTGGTTTCACTCGGTTTTCCATAACCACAAGACCCAGAAGCTCCAAGTCGCATTCGACCTATGAGTTGTCTTTACACCAAAATTTACTTATAGATTTTCAAAGACCAAGGTCAAATACAGCCTGACAAGCGTACCATATTTCGGGGCACTTTCGAAGCCTTCACATAGTTCATCTCCAATTTCCTCCGAGCCACAGAAATCAATCGATAGCCATGTTGAGCATATAGGTTCACTTGCGTCTTAACAATATTCAGGTTTGGTGTAGAAAGGAAATATCAGGCTGTATCGAAATCCAATAAATATGGAATCATGAAAATTAAGGCACGGCATGATTTTGCTATTGCATAATTTTCTCCACTCCTGTTCCGATGTCCAACACTTTGTAGCCAACATATTAGTTACTACTCTATTTCGTATGCGTTGACACATTAATGGCAGCCGTTCTGCACCGGCATCTTTTATTTTTCATATTTTTGATTATAAGTTACCATCGCCTGCATATTGCTGGTGATGACTCCCTCACGACCTCACATCCGGCGGAGGCCCGCTCATATTGGGCAGGCAAACTGAGATACAATACCAGCAAAACTGACTTTTACGTGCTCTCAATAAATACGTTAGTAAATTATACCACAGAATTTCTGCAAGGTGCCATTGAAAAGGTCCAGTATAACCATAAGTGGTCTGGTTACCCGCAAAAGCTTGATTTCTATCTTGAGTTTCTATGTATTTCTTCTTCAAAATACTACTTTGTTAAAAATGTGAAAATTTACTCCAGGGGTACTGCGGGCTGCCTTGCTGTGCATTGATTGCAGAAAATCTGTTTCTAGATCTTTCTCACCACATCATAAATTATACCAAAGAACCTCAAACTATAATAAAAACTCCACTACTAGTGATAGTTGTTTTCAAATTATATGTAGACTGTGAGACTTTCGGTAAAGTTCTAGAATAGATTTTAATTGTGAAAATTCAAATAAATAAAGAAAAACAAGTTTTCCACGTTTTTCCGTTCATCTCACAGATGCCGACTGAGTTTACTAGGAACAGCGTATTGCTTTTGAAATCCTAGAAGAAAACGCGACGCGCAGCCGCGTCACATTGTTGGAGATATGGAAAGATATAGATGCCTCGCTGCAATCGTAATTGTTACCAAGTAGTCCTCTGGGACAGTTGCTGGATCACAAAGTGTCAGTATCATTTCTGGTGAACCTTTGCAGTACAGTGTCATGTCATGAGTTGAATCATCACGTGGATTGGACACGATCACAGACATTCGCTGGAGAGATGAGCTAAAATCAAACACGGTGATCTGCGCCCATGGATATGTTCGGTCTAACTTTAAGGTACTTTTAACGTTCACATAAAGGAGAAAACTCTAAAAGGCTTCACCTGAAAGTGAATTGACGAATAACACTGTATTCCTTATTGAATGGATGATCTCCAAGTTCTGCCGGTGGCTTCACTACAGTAGGCTGAAATCAACTTATTCACAACCGAAAATCGCGTATGTCTGCCAAAGGAGATGCAGCGCGTCGCAGTTGAGCATGTTCAAGAGACGCGCGGTGGCGATGCACTACATCTACGTCGTAGAGGCGGTTTCCACTTCAAAATGGGGTCTCTAACGAACACCTTCGTTTGCATGATAGGTCGCCAATACTTGGGAGGAAGTGATATAGCAGGAAGTAGCGCCACTTCGGACATGCACGTTCCTTAGTTCAAATCCTAGACCAGGTCAAGAGAACAACAATTTGGATTCGGCTGGGCAACGAAGATTGCATATGTCAGATGGCATTTGATTGACATTATAACTTTTGATGGAAGTAAGCTGCGCGGCGCTTCCCCAGAAGGAAACTGATAAACGCCAAATGCTTCATCCTTTTTTCTTAACTTGTATATATCACTTTTAGCTGTTAGATTTTTGCTTCACGGTAGCGCTTCAAAATGCAAGTGATAACACGATGGTGTCCGTGAACCCATCTTAGGGGTGCACACTCGCAATAAAAGTGCCCAAAAGTGCCGCTACATAACCAACCATTTATATACAACAAATTTGCCCATCTTCTACAATGGATAGTGCCAAAACTGCTCCCCCTTATATTTCCAAGTTTCAGACCGGTCTCGTAGTGGCACGGTCTAGTAGCATCGGTGCCTGTAGGTACAGCGACTACAGTTGGATGAGGACTATGTAATTGATGAAACAAAGGGGTTGCTAATAAATTACTGCGCGCATTCAACGTCGTGTCGTCATCCAACAGTAGGAAGGGCCAGTTTTGAAGCATGAAAATGGAGGCACAATTTAGGAAAAACAAGCCTCTTCCGTGTGAAAGTGCGGGACGTATGTGTCCCGCGCTGTCGTCAAAGTGTTAACAAATACGTACTCACACTGAAATAGATTCCCACCACCAGAAAAGGAGACCACCGACCTGAATACTGTCGAAGATCTGCACTTCGCTGTCAGCTTCATCATCCGCTGACTCCATCAATGTCCACCCCGTTTGATTGAAAAGGATCAAGTCAAGCGGATCTCCGTGCAATTCTCCATGTATTCTGAAAGGAAGTACTGCACTTTATGAATTTAAATATAATCATTTTTGCCAGCATTAACCAAACATTTACTTAGTCAGTGAATGACAAGTTGCAATGGCCGTGATCAGTTCTCCATCCGAAGGTAAATCATTCGGTTTCATCTCTTCATTCTCCTAAAATCAAGTGAGCATAGCATACAAGCTGCCTCCCACAGAACGTAATACATATGTTCCACTGCAAACCTCGGTGAAGGTGGGAGGAGACGCCCCGCTTGCGGGCGTTACGCCACGCAGTGTTTGGAAATCAAGACCATCTTCAGTTAGCGTTCCGGTTTTGTCGAAACAACACTGAATGAATTCACAGTAAGTTATTAAAAGAACTCACTCCCTCTGAAAATGAACTAACAAGAACAAGCAACTTCACTTTTGGAGGAACTGGCAAGTATGAATCATTGGGTACAGTATACAAACAGCTCGATCACCCTATCTTTCATCATTAGTACAGTTGTCTTAGGCTCAAACAATGTATTGGTCTAAATTTGGGGAGTCACAACCTATAAACCTTTTCCCCGCTGGAGGAGTTCCATATAGGCAGCGATTACGATAAATTCTTTCTGTAGGGGTTCAGAGGGACGTGGGGGTGTTCAATGGTGCGACAGTACCGAAAAAAGCAGAGAAATCCGTCGAAGAACAAGCAAAACGGGATCTCCTTGTTTGGGCGTTGATCTTCGCTCATGAGCGGGTAACGAATCAGAGAATTTGATTCGATTCAGTGAACTTATGAACGAGTTCACCGCAACGCGTTTGATGGCACATGCCAAACCATGCTCAGTCGAGTTGCTCCAGTTGTGCCGCTGCTGGCAACGCAGCTCGTCCAAATCACCAACTAAACTAGTCGCTTTTGGGGCGGAGCGCTTTCGAAGTCCTGCTCAGCAACCAGCGCACCTTTCGTCGTGAAAGCGTTACACCTCGCTTCTTAGCACCCAAGCTACTGCTTCGTATGGCGCATACACAGGGAGGAGGGGGGGGGGCAAAAAAAAAGACATTTTGCCTATGTCGCACTTCGGCTTTTTTTCTTCGCAGAGATTGCCGTCGTTGACGGAAGTTCCTCAGCAAAATATTCCCAAATGTCCCTCTATAAGTAGACGCAGGCCCTCCTTCACTGCCCTCACCGTCTTCAGAATATGACGTCATCTGTCATCCGTCGTCGAGCTCAGGAGGCCTACAGTAACTGCTTCAGCCTGAAGCTCTTACATAATTTCTTGAATCGATTCATGTTGGATAGTTTCCTAGAAACATTAGCTCTGAATATGCAAACCCCCTCGGAACCCGCTTTCAGAAAACGTCGTAATGGTATGGGGTCCGTCCACGACCCCATTGAGCACGACCAGTACACCATGTTTTCAGTGCTAATTTTTCCGATTTCGTCCACCTTGAAGGGCAATATGAAGTTTATTTTATGAAATGGAATGTGCTCTTTCATTTTAACTTGAGTCCATTCGTTTAGAATTTAGCAGAGTGTGATTTAATCGGTTAGAATGTTCGGTTATGTGGAGACAAAATGTCCTTTTTTATTGCCCCCCCCCCGTACATAGCCCACGATGAGCCACCTTCTTAGTGTTACCGCTTTCCTTGAGACACCACCTCGGAATTCCTAAATTAGCCCGTGGGACGGCTTTTCTGAAACCTGTCTTCCACCTCCAAAATTCCATCGTGAATTTCGTAAAGCTCCCGATGTACCTAAAAATTTTCACTAACGTGCATCTCAAAAACCCAGTGCCATTTCCTTCAAAATACGACCATTTTGCCAAACATCACGAATACGACGATTCTAACTGGATTTTGGCCGATAGACGGCCGACCCGTAACCCTTGTAAATGAGTGCAAAATACGAAGAAGAGCGTACAACGTTGATCGCACCGCACGTGTTGATTGTCGACGGAGATATGCAGAATATTTCCTTCTTGCGAAGTCGGAGATTAGAATTGATAATGCCAACGGACATTGCAGCTGAAAAATAAGAAATATGGTAGGAAAGGGAACCAGCAGATTTCATTACTACTCATACAACAATTACATTACATTTGTGGGCACTGCTTATTCATTACTACCGCAATCCTCAAAAACTGAGCCAGATCTTTACCAAAATTAGTCCATGGGTATGGATCCGGTTAGATTTTGCCTCTAGGATTTTTTCAAGCGTACAACACAAATAGAGCATCAGTCTAGATTGACTTGCAGCGGAATCATGTGATATTCATGTTCCACGGCCAAGCTACCCCTGACGACAAGTCCTCGGTGATTTGATGAGCAAAGATGTGCTGACGCCTTGCCGCTAGCACCTGCGGCGCGGCACTTGACGTTTCGCGCTGGACGAATGTAATATTCGTGTTCTACGGGTCAAATTACCCCAGAAGGCAACTTCGAGCCATAATCCACAGATCATGACCAAATTTCGATAGAAATCCAGCTGTTTTTGAAAGTGGGGGGGGGGCAATGAAGGGTAAGCAACGCCGATTTTCGTATTACATCCGCTTTCAAAATTTTACACATTTGTACTGTCATTTCACGTTGCTATCCGCAGGCTCGAACTTCAATATTATCTGCAAATAATAGACTAACAGAGTGGGTCCTAAAGCCTTCTTTGTTTTAGTGTTGACAAGTTTCGCTGGTTTCTGAAGATGCCGCGCGGACTGTGCATAGAGGGAAGGGTGGAAAAGAGCAGGAATTGCCCCACACCATCCACATCTCCCCATTGATGAGTGTTACGGTAAAGGTAAGGCTGGTGTCATAGTCCGTAAACCGTCGCGCGACGGATCACAGAAATAGCATGTGTCCCGGGGTGCTGCTTGCAAAGCGCGGGCGCATTCGTGGCAGTGGTCCCAGCGCGATTCAATGTTACTGACACTGGAGCAAGTAGAGTCAGGTTCGGGAAACTCGTCAATCAATACTGCGAGGTGCTCTCCAATCCCGCCGCCATTTCTGCTTGATGGTGATGGCTGAATGACGACTGTTCATGATTCTACTTGTTTCATATTCAGTGTTTCAAATGTTCAAATGGGGCACTTGCGATTTTTGCGATTCGCGCGAATCACGCGACGGATCGCGGACTCTGACGTCCAGCCTAAGGTGAGCTGCCACGTGCACCCACCAGTGTAAGTGCTATCAGATTGTTCCACCTCAATGCTTAGCGCGACATCTGCCCTAAGATTCACTTTGAAATGCGTTTTCGCGAATGTTGTGTGCAGCCACGTACGCACAAGAGGTCAGCAGTAGTCTAAACGTAAAAGTTGGTCTCTCAAGTATCGCACTACCATGGCTAATGAAATTTCGTTGTCCACGAACCCACCGCAACTTAACAACGATAATGATTACTAGTTGCATGGTTGTGAAGACAGAATTTGACGCTGCTGCACTCATTAATTCATGTAGAATTCTTGATTTTTTCATAAAAAATAACTGTCACGTACCCGGAAGAGCAGGTGGTACAACTATGGTAATGATGTCCAGCGATCGAACAATAATCTTTCGTATTGGTTCATTCCTTTGAATCATTATGGCGATCGTATAGGCGAAACCGAAGAGTGCAATACAGAACAGGAAGGCGACAAACTAAAACCCAATTTTTAACGTACTTGAAGTCTTCGCATAGCGACACGCTTCTCTTTCGTACTGTAGATCGCCTACCAAGCACTCCCTTCTACCATGCTATTTGATAACACCCATAAAGTCACACTATCACACCCACCTTGAACAGATCTTTTGTGAATCGGAAATCGATTGGTTTCGGATACATAATCGATCGCACCAGTTGTCCTTTAAGAGTTGCATATGCCGTTCTGAGTACGATCGCCTTGAATATTATGCTGTGTCATTGTACTAAGCTATTTGTTGGGGTAATAATGCCAATAGACCGCTACTTCGGTACCAGAGACAGGTAGAAGACACTGTAGGGACCATGACCCATGACGGGCAAATCGAGCGTCAAAACAGTGACTGAAACTTCTTATGCACCTTCACTTGTTTCCCTTGATAGTATCGTGTCTGTAGAACCTGCGTGCCACAGTATAAAATGTGCTTGGAGTGTTTTTCAAAGCAGAATCGCATGTCCTCCTCATCCTCGTGGACAGCAGTCAGCGCGACCTGGAATATCGAACTCAGTCATGAAGTAGAGTGCACAATTACCCACAAAAGTATGGATATCACCATGTGTGGTTATTATGCCCAAAAATGAACGTTGAAGCGCAGAACGGGGGGGGGGGGAGGCTAAAAAAAACAAGCATCAACCAAAAAAAGTAGCATTTAAAAGATCTCCTTTCTCGTGAGTCCATCGTGGTACGTCAGATGGACCATCGTGCCAAGGATGAAGGAGGGAGGCTACGCGGGATACACATGTGTTTTGCATAGCGAACTATAGGAGAGCAACTCAGGACCAACAAATGGACGGCCACTAAGGCCCTTGAGCCCTTGCCATTTTCGCGCCATGGAAACGGCAGATTTGAGACATTCCTAAACTGCTCTTTTCTACCCAAGAAAAGGATTCCTCCAGTGTTGGTAGCGGAATGTGCCTTCAACCGCAATGCTTGGTGAGCTCCTGAGCCACAACTGTAGTTCGATGCCGAAAGAAGAAGTTCATCGCGGTATACTTGGACAAGTTTAGGACTCGACCTTTGCATGCGGAATATCGACTGACAGTTTTTGAATGAACTTCTCTAATCGACCGTAAACACAGTTTGAGATTTTGGAAGATGCAACTCATCAGAAGAGCTATTTTACGCCTGTGGTAGCTAGGATTAGGAATACAGGGATAAGCATTCGGGATTATGTCCGTTTTGGATGCGTCATGCGTTCTACCTCCACTCAGAATTGTAACGCCACTTGAAAGCGGTTCCTTCTATGCAATGGCTTGCGGGTGCCAGCCAAAGAAATTTTCAATTTCGTATCATATAATTGCAATGACCCGACGCTTCATAGGTTGAAGGCTTGGTTGGTCGGATTAGGCGTAATAGCAGAGCAATAGGAATACTGCTAAAAGAGGCTGCAAGATTTGAATGATGGAGATGGTCTGTGACCCCTAGAAAGTCCATTCTCTCACCTTATTATCTCTCAAGGATACCTCTACATCTATTAAGTTAATAAAAAGTTCTGTCAATGATTTTAGCGAATGCTTCTGTGGGGCACACACTCTTAGCTCGACCCAGCCTACGACCACTGTGACACAGGGATGTTGCGAAGTGAGTGCTGTGAAAGGAGAGCAGATAAGGAAGGGCAGTACCTTCGTTATAGGAACGGATTCTCCGGTCAGCATACTTTCGTTGACAATGGCCGTCCCATTCATCAGTACCGCATCGCATTGCATAACACCGCCATGAGCAGGCACAAGGAAGATATCGCCTGGTACTAGCTATAAAGCAAACAGTGATTAACAGCAGTGAAAGAACTCTTCACAGAGGTGACGTATAAGAAAAACTAAAATTCTAGCAAAAAATGTACACCTCTTCACTGTTGATTGTTTTCACAGTCTCATCTCGTACTACTTGCACCTCGTTGGACGACTGGACCATGGAACGTAACTTTTTCTCCTGACTCCTACAACGAAAAATACCATGGACACTTCAGAGCTGTTTTCATACACTTCTTCAAGCATTATATCACAGTATCAAAGGAGGAGAGCTGTGGTTTCATGTAACAACCCTGACGGTAACCATAGGAAATAACGTGAGCTTCTCCCACTCAAAATGCCATGCGATCTCGATCCTTCACACCCCGAGGTTTCACTCCAGCAGAAATGAAAAGCGCAAGAGAGATCGCAACGAGTGTCGCATACTCCCAAACTGATAATCCCAAACTTTTATTAAGGGTTCCTATGTGTTGATTTACGCCCGTGATTTGAAAGCCAGCAAGCTCTAAACTTTCTGAGGGTATCGTGGGCTAACACCAACCAGTCACCATGTTCCGCGAAATTTTATAGGTTATTCATACTGCTTCATGAAAAACAACAGAGGACAAAAAACACATCCTCATAAAGAAAATATCGAAAAAAAAAGAAAAAAAGGTGGATTTGACGAAAGTCTTTGAATGAGCTTTTGAGCTGCTTTTAAAGAAGAGGTATCTTTTCATCAGTGCACTGGTATGCAATATGTAGGGATTTATTATCGCTTGGTATCACAAGGCCTGCGTGTTCCACCATGTCCCCTGCATTACGGAATTTTCCACGCTCCAGAGAAGCGATCATTCCCAGGCCAGGAGTTGAATTGTCGTAGACTATACTCCACGGAACTACGGAACGAATGTCTCGAAACCGTACTACTTGACTATATTGCGATAAAATTTGAAAGGGGCTTACGCTCTCTTAAGTGGAATCGTCCCATCCATTTGATGAAGAACTGTGCCAGATCAAAAAGAAAGGAAAAAAAGGTGTTTGGTATGATCTACTACAGTTTATGACCTCTGACATTCTCATTCGAGCATACTGTTTCCTAGTGTCTTCCCACTTCAGGGGTTCAACCTCTCGTTGAGAAATCCGCAATGAGGGGACGGGAGGGGAGGGGGAGGGGGGAGAGATGGATTGGATTTGTGATCCTCTAATGGGGAGCTGTGTTTGAGGTTCCTGTAATTGGTCGCGGTAGTGAAAGTGCCTTGTTTGCAAGAGATTGTAGAGAAAAGCATCGTTCATCAAAAAAAAACCTGAAAGGGCAGAAATATGTAGAATCCGCTGTTCCAGGATATGCATACCATCCCCTCCCCCCCCCCCCCCGTCTACCCCTCCCCATCTGTGATATGGCTATTCAAACAACCCTGTGGCTACCGTCAACCGTTGGGGGGTGGTCGCATGGAAAACATTACGGGGGCTGTCGGGAAAAGTCCAAAAAAGCGCAACATAGCTATCGACTCCTGTCTGAACCTTCTTAATGGCACGCTCCGCGATCAGGCGGGCTCGCCTGTTCCATCCAGGGGGTAGTAGGCAGGTGGACAAGTGTTGATGTCGGCCCCTTTTGCGGCTTGAAAGTACGCGACAAAGGCGCAAGGAGCTCGTCCAACCCGCAACTCACACCTTCGTCCGCAAGCCCCACCCTTCGCTGTCGGTTGCCACGTGGCGCTGCTTGAAAAGCGCGGGCGCATTTGAGGCAGCGGTCCCAGCGCGATCCAATGTTATTGGCACTGGAGCAAGTAGAGTTAGGTTCGTGAAACTCGTCCAATTCGCCTCTTCTCTATCCCAAGGTGGAATGTGGCTGAAATAGGGGAGGTCTCTGTACGGGGCGTAATCGGTGGTTTCGTTTGCTTTCCTTCTCTTTTACAGACCACCTCCCACCTATAGCTTCATAACTGAACGCTTTTCCACACCTATTTTATCCCGAATCTTGCCTTTAAGGAATACCCTCGATAGTGAGATTTTGGCTATACACTGCGTTTCATAAATATAGGTCCACCCTAATTTTTGCTATTCCAAAGTTGCTGTGCATTTTTGGAAAATGCCGCTATTACCAATAGTTTCCCCATAACGAAAAACCTTGATACTTGATTTCTGGAGAAATCTCGATTCAGAATTATTAAAATATCTTCCTTAGAACGTATTTTCACCGTTTCGCAAATATGACTACACATCACTTGTCGAGAGATTTTACTATAACGAAAAAACGTCACGAATTTTCAATAATGGGATGACCCCCAATAATCATAAGGAACACAATAATACGTTTTGAAATGCTGGTAGCCAAATTAGCTATTACAGTAGGATCGAAATTCGTCTGGGCGCCGATGATCGACCTTTTCAGCTTTTCGGCTGTTCCATTTTGCTTTACTTTGCTGTGGAACTTTATAACAATTAAGGCCCAATGATTCTCTATTGGAATCTAATTCAGATAACATGGTGGCCACCAGATAACTGCCACATTTTTTCCTGCAATTCCATCTGGCGCGGAGGGACCGGCATGGACAGCCGTTAGGGTGAATAATCGGGGTCGAGGAAATCCTCGACAGGGGGGTCGTACCTGTTGGGCTGGTCCATGGGGGGTCGTACTCTTGGGGGTCAGTAACAGAAGTGGTATCATGGTGCAGATAGGTAATAGGGTATAGCGCAGCAGAAAATGAAAACATCCGAAAAAAAACATGATATTAAATTTTCTTTGCAGGTTCAGTCGCTCCATTCCTCCACCTTCATGAGAAGGGCGTATTTGAAGGCAGTACAAAGAATGAAAGTGCATCCCCGCAAAGAAGACTGCCACATGTGCGCACGCGCTGCAAAGGCACCTCCTCCGCCTATCACTCGCTCCTTCTCCCTTAATACCTCGCTGAGAATGACGCTGTTGTTAGGGACCCTGTCGGAAAAACGACAACCGTGAAGAAAAAGCGCTGGGCAAATGAAGTTGTTTTTTAGGTTACAGGAATAGCACAACACACTATGTCTACTACAATACAGTTTCGTTCGAAGGTCCCCATCATATAACACCTTTCAATCGATTCTGCAACTGTGAGTGGAGGAGGGATGCATGGCTTATACCAATACCAAATCGGATGATGACGATTGCTCCTATTCTTATTGTTTGCGTTCAAAGATATTGTTCTAGACACATTCCGAGTGTTGCCAACGAGTCACACTTGCAATGGTGAATGAGGGAGCGGATTTCCAGGTGGCCGGATCCGTCCTCGATAGATCCTCGACGCAATTATCTCTTCAACCAAAAAGCTGTAGAAGAAAACTAAACAGACCATCAGGAAGCGCAAACCTTCCGCTTTCCAAAACTATCTTCCCTTTTTCAGGATCTTACAATATAAGAGATATATTGCTCTTGAAGTGGCAAAAACTCGCGTGAAAATTTCGGCCTCCTCGACATTTACTCGACGAAATTTGACAGACCCTATCTTTCTGCAAGGAAGGCTTCCAGAGCAATTTCGATGCTTGTTGGAAACGCGAAATCCAGCTCTATCTAACTCTACCTCAAGCTGCTTCAAAGGTTGTGAAATGGAGGAATGCAACCTTTTCATCGAGGGTGTAGATTCGGACGTTTTTTTTTGAAATTTCGGCAAATCTGACCCAGTGACAATCGCGCCGCAGCTGCCGTTGAATCGGCCTTTGATACACTCGGCTGTTTTGATATACTCAAGCAAGAATCAAGATTGAATCGCAACCCCGTGTCTTCAGGATTTCTGTGCGTTTCTGAACGAACCTCGCCTTGAGGTCACACAAAGTTAATGCCTCTTTCCTCGAGTCGATATTTCAGTATGTACACAAAAGTATGCAGCGATGGAAGACGTGCATAGATGACAAGATGAAGCGTCCTTAGCATTATTTTGCAGAATTTTTTTTGATTTGTTTTGCAGGATTTATTTTAATTGAATTAATTTGCTCTGTTAGAGGGGGTCGTGCCAGGATCTCGATTTCGGGGGGGGGGGTCGTACCTCTGCGACCACGTACTCGACACCGCCCACCCAACATAGTTTCACCGGCATGGACAGCCGCGTTATCGTGTGTGAAAATCAAGGATAGAGGGGATCCTTGTTGAAAAAATGGTAAGACTCGCTTCGAAAGAACTTCACGATACCCTGTGGAATCTTTGTGAACGGAAACAAAAGCGAGCTCTAGCTACTCAGTCGTTCAAAGGTGCCTCAAACCATAAGGGATTCACCGCCGAAATTACGTTACATTGAAACCATCTGCGATTTTCACGCGATCATCCTGTACCCTCTTTTTCTGCATATCCACCTAGAATAAACTTTTCCACGTCGATCTCAGACCACCTGTAGAACGAAACAAGGAGGTAGAGTCCAAGATCGCGAAGGGTCTTAACAGCCACACCATCGCTCATTAAGTTGAGCCCTTTTCCACGGAGAAATGGAGACTTGCGATCTTGTAGCGCTCAAATAATCTTGGAACGCTCTTCATCAATCCGTTGAAGATGTTATTGCTCTGCTGGCTTACTCACCACACGGTGGTTTTGCTCACGGAAGGCCGCATTTCAGTACGGACTTTGTTCGGACTCCTTGTATAATTCGAGAGAAGACACCCAATTCCTCCTAAATTTTGAAGGAAACGCAGTCTTTATTTACCTAAGCGACTCTTCTCTCCGCACTGACCAGGATTTTGCACATAGTCGCTTATGCAGTATGAGCCGGCCGACATGGGAGGAAATTCTGCTCCTCAGCTATCCCACTTCAGTAAGTGCTCTAGCTTGAGCTTGTTACTGGGAAGAGAGGCGAATAACACGAGGTATGGTAAACTCGATGTCGACTGAGCCCACATATTTCCCCGCTTCCCTGATTCCCTTCACGGATCGTGAGAAATGGAAACTTTTTATGAGTGGGCCCGATATTCATGAAACGGTGAAAATTCGTTCTAAAAAGTTAATTGGGTTACTTGAGGGGGGAACTTTGTCAGAAAAACACTATGAGAGGTTTTCCGTGATGAGGAATCTAACGGTGATAGCAGCATTTCCAAAAAATGCACAGCAACTTTGGGGTAGCAAAAATTTAGGGTGGACCTATAATTATGAAACGCAGTGTATTTATTTTGGTCTCCGAAAATTGTAAGTCTCATGTCGAGCGGAGTGGTCAGAGACAAGGTTAAAGATTACCTTTTCGACTTATTGGATAGGGTGAAAGGAACGGATTCAGTCGAAATATATGCCACAGTAAGCAAAAGTCACTATGTTTCAACAAAAACAATATGCAACGATTGCGAGGGCGAAATACCTTGTTTGGTAGACATCTATCGCGATTGACATCACAGACATAACCACTATAATGGAAGCGTAGTACTCGTAATTATCCGAAAACCAGATGGAAACGCTGAAAATTTTAGATCGTCCACATAATAGGACCAATTCAGAGCACTCGATTAAGTGATTTGTTGCTTTGGAAATCCGAAAAAATAATATCACTGATTAATGCTGCTTACCTGAAAACTTGAAAGATATAGAATGGCGAAATTGCTTCCATGAAAAGCAGAACAATAATCGGTTTCAGCTTGACTTCGATGCAATTCTTTCCATAAGTGACCTGCCGGCGACACACATCCCCTTCAGATAGGCCTTTGCCAGATCCCACTTCGGCATGGAAATGCACTAAAGGGATCTGAAATGAGAATCGGTGCCGTAGAGGAAAGCTATGAAGGAGAAGAACGAAGATATTATGTAGAAGTTCTCTGTAGTGTCAAATGTCGTACATCACTAATTTCCACTCGAAAAAAAAACTTAGGACAGAAGTAGTTGACAGCGGGGCTTACAAGGTGTTTCTCAGGCTCCTGAGTTTCGCTGCAATCGTGCTAGCACGATCTTCACTGGTGGGACGTCATGCTACACAAATTCTTGCGCCTCCACCCTTGCTTCGAGCATTCTTCCCCAACACACAAATGCCAGTTGTGATCACTAGAGACAACATACAAAGTTTCACGCACAAAGATTCAGTTTCCGAAGAGAAACAAACTTACAAAACCACTCTATGGACAATCGAAGGTAATGGCGCGGAGCCAAAGGCGGGCATGGAAAGAAGTCCGCCTTGGGGCGGCTACGTATCAGGCGACGCAATGAAAGAATCGGGTTAAAGCGCGCGATTTTGGAGAGTAGAGACAAATCGATCGATAGAATAGGATGCAGTAGAAGTGTGAGATGTGAATGCAATAAGTCAAAAGGCCAGAAAGAGTTTCTAGTGAAGGCACTCCAAGAACCAAGTGGAAGCATTCCCGTCGCCAGCATTTGTGACAGATGTCCGGCGGTACTTTGAACGCGTAGCAGCCCTTTCGGTTTTTCGAATTTTTTTACCAAAACAAATGCAATTTTTGTTCTTTTCGTTCTTATCGTGAACGATGGGTCCCAAGCCAGTGAATTATGGGTGAAATAGAATCACGATTTTTCCGAGAAGGATTCCTTTAAGAATGATTCGGAAATGCCTTTTGGAATGTGTTGTATACAACCTGGTGTGCCTAGGACGCTAATTAAAATTATGCTTCCTGTCTCTATCAAACAAGGCTGATAACAAGTATGATGCGTTTAGTAACCACTCTATGACGTAAGCAACCATATTTATGCGAAACGCAATGATCGGTAGGTGCGCTGATGGCCGAACTGATAGATGGATTGGTGTTTGCACTGTCAAGCCCATGGAACCGCAAAGAAGGTCAATCTCAATTGGACTAGAATTTTGTCCTTAGAGGGAAATCGATATCCTTAACACGAATATAACAGCTGTTTGGCATGAAAACGCCCAGTCCGTGCATGAGAAGGGGGAGGGGGGGGGTTTGGGGGTCGCGAAATCAAAGTCAGAAAGTTCAATCGGAAAAGCATCAAACTTCGAGCTGTTGAACATTTAGGAAAGTACATGATACGCTAGCTTTTTGTGACGATTCATCAAATAGCCAGGAAAACCAGCCGATGGATTCCATTTTCCAACTTCGTTGCTGGAAATTCGTTGTCTAGCCGTGGGAACATCCGACACATGTGAAGGAAAATAATATAGAGTTCCATTGATATAGAATGACAAATGAATTAAGCAGATTCGTTCTAGCGTCCGAAGACGCATCAGATGGTAAACAGGTGGGGGGGGGGGGCAAAAAACTGTGCGTTCAGTTCTTTCAAAGAGTGGAGCAGCACTTGGAATGTGGGTAGAACCTAATTCGAACGACACAGGGAAGACTTAAGCCGTTTAGACAGAGCGAGCACCCGAAGTAAAGCGTGAATTATATGTTCTGCTGTAGTCACGTACAATGCGCGACGCATTGACGCGCTGCTCGCCTCCCACTATTCGTTTTCTCTGCGCTCTCTCAAAGGAGAGAGAATATGTCGAGCCAACCCGCCAACTATACTGAGCGCCGTTCATGTAGGAGGTGGAGGATGGCACGCACGCCAGAGTGGCCTCGCGCCTAGTCTAGCGCGCGAAGCGGCGCAGCGAACGCTGCGACGCTCATCCATTTTTGGATTGCTGCCCAGCGGGGTAGCCTCATTGTGAGCATAACCTATAGGATTGTCATTGCGGAAATCGCGTCGATGCGACGCGCATTGTACGTGACTACGGCAGGAACATCGTAATTTACGCTTACTTCGGGTGCTCACTCTGTCTAAACGGCTTATCTCCACAGGGAAATGTAAGTAGAAAAATGGTACTGTCTTTCAAGGAGGCAAAGACGTGCGCGCAGCGCCGCCCAACTCGTTAAGTTCGGAAACAAATTTGTTATGAAGGCCTAGAGATCAAGCAGAGGAGCAAATTGCAAAGCGGTACATGGGAAGAAAGGAATTAGTCAACAATAATGAATAAATAATCAATAGTATGAGTAAGTACAAAAAAATACAAATACAAAAGCTTTTTGGACCCACCTGACCATCGAGATCAGCGGGTGCTATCCATGCCTCACCTTCGGATCGCCAGACATACTTGAGTTTGCGAAATGTGAAATATCGAATAGAATCCACTTCTTGCATGGTTCCATTACCCTATGAGAAAACCTTGTAAAGAAGCAAAAATGCACTAAATCTTCTCATCTGCATCGAATTTCTTCTACCATATGACGTGATAATTTTAAATGGTTGGAACGGAACAAACAGACTTCAGTAACAAAAATTCCACGGGTAATGTAATATGCACTGTAGCGAAATTTTAAAAAGGAATTTCAGGAGTTTTACAAAAATGAAACTGACGGACGGAAAAATGTAGCCATTTGCTTTTTCGGCAGCTAATTAATCGCTGAGCGTGCCGTCGAGAATGGTCCAAGCAACTGTTCTACGGAAAGATTATACCAAGTTCGGTGCTAGAAAATGTCAGCCCTAAATGGTCATGCTAACTGGTTTCCAGGTAGTTTCATATCTAGTGCATTCTAGAACTGTCGTGTTGTAATCCCGCACAATACATACATATGTTCCAGAACAGAGTCGTTGAGGAAAATTTTGAAATACGACCCCCCACCTCCCCAGGTGCCGAAGTCCATGAAACGACTCTTCACACGCCGGAGTATGAAGAAAAGTTGTTTAACTTTCCCCGAAAACCTTTCCTTTCAAAATACACCCCCATGCCTTATGGACTCACCATCCTCTATTGAAACCGTTCAACAAGTAGGAAAAGTCGAAGAGGGCCATTAACAATGAATACTACAGAGAATAAAGCGAAAAACGATGAACTAGCAATGAAAAATATAAAGATGAAATAGATAGCCAGTTGTGTATTAAATGACCTTGGGCGTTGACCTTGAAGCAACTTATCCACATCTCGAAATCAGCTATAAATTACGACAATTAATGAGAAATACCTTAATTAGGTTGATTAGCGAGAAAAATACTTGAAGTGTGTGAGTTTATATTTTCAAAGCCATTACCCCCTTTACGGCCATGACCTTCCTTTATGGGCGGAAGTGGTGTAGTGGCAAGTGGCACGCTTACCACGCGAGCGGTCCGGGGATCAAATCCTGGGTCGTGAGTCGCCCGGGCCAACCAAGCCTTCCATCCCTCCGGGGTCGGTTAATTGGTACCAGACTTGTCTGGGAGGATAAAAACACTGACTTGTACATCGGCTGGCCCCCGCAAGTCATTGTATAGGCCAAACGCCACTACGAATGTACAAATGGAAGTAGAATGCGTGCCGCATCCCAAAAAGGGATTGATCAACGGCAAATGCTTTATCCTTTATCCTTTACCTTTTCATTAAGTCTGAAAATTTAATATAGGATTGTGAAGCTAGAAAAATTGCTTTACTCAACCATTACTAAAGTGGTCCGATTCGTACGGTATGCCTAAACATTGAGGATCTTTTAAAATGATGAGGGAAATTTCGAGAAGCGGCAGCTTTTACCAAATCCATCATTTTCCTCAAATTTATCGAGTCTGAAAAATTAATAGAGCAGTTAACTAGAAGGTCCGCTTTACTCAAATATTGTAAGGATGGCTCGATTTTTTTCAGCACATCAAAAATGGCTACCGTCGAGGATTTTTGCCCACGCATCGCACCCGAGGTTCTCCTCGCACTATTGCAACGACTATTGCTTCCTCAAGGACGATATTGTAGAACAATGAAAGCAAATTCAGAACAAACAAGCTTTCTGCTTTCAATGGGTGTTAAATAGTACAGCAACCTTAACTTGAACGATTATAAATATGTTTATGAATTTGACGCTGGAAAACTGCTATCCTGCTAAACAAGTGAATTTCTTCCCGTCATTTTGAACGACCCCTTTGGTAATTCTCTTGATTATCCCTAAGTCGAGATTTTTTTTGCCACGGTACCGTAATTAAAATGCGTGCGACTGATTGGGCCAACTCTCCGTGTGCTTCACATCCCTTCAGAATCGCGGACCCATTTGAAAGATGAAACATCCGTCGGTAAACTTGTGCGATTCGAATCCTCTACCCCTATCTTAATATATCACTGAGATAGCTTGGAATTGCTACGCGGACCCTTTTGAACTACAAAAACTCCAGCGGGCCAAATACGATCCGCCTATCGGCGTGTGGGGTATTCCTCAAAATGCTTGACCCTATGC